TTTTATTTTTTTCCCACTTTCCCCTACAAAATACAACTTATTCACATAGCAGTATGAAGATGCTTGGAATACATATCAAGGTACTTTTTGTTTGGTGTAAATGTCTTTAGTTTTCAGGTTAATATTAAAAAATTGTCAATTTGTATCATAATAGCCCCGGTTGTACTGTTTGTCGCTACTGTTTTATAAGAATAACTTCCCCTTAATCAAAGCAATCAAAAAACACTCACCCTGGACTGCATAGAGCTCCATTCTCCTGTTGGGCTTCCAGGTCTGGCCCCCATCGAAGGACCTTTCTTTTTAGCTACCACCACAGCAGACCCTCTAAGGTCATTTGGTATATCGACGACAGTGGTTTCATTGGGATTCACTGTTCCTCTGGGAATAACGATTTTTTGCGACATACTTACTGAAATTTGGATAAATGTGTGAAGTTTCTGAAATGTTTGACAAAATTTTGTGTTGGTTGACGTCAGCTAACTTAGATGTCAATGATTCCATTGAAATGATGGGTATAGGTCAGGCATCAGTGTGAAAATCAGTGCGAAAATAGCAATCTGATTAGTTCTGTCGTTAAAGGTGAAAATATTATATAACGTCAAACATTTTTGAAGCACATTAGATTTTTTTTTCAACTTTCAACCCCACAAAAACCTACTCATATGAACTGTCCTAATAACAGGATACTGTTGAAAAAGTTGCATCATTATCATCATCAAAGGGGTTGCTTACGGATAATAATAATAATATCCATTCACCATTTATGATACATAGCGTGTATACTCTCTATTATATGCGAGCGCTTTCGATAGCAGACTTCGCTATCATTTTCATAGCTCTACTCAAACTGAACGTTTTATCTTCTTGTTTGTTCTTTTATATGGTTAGAACGCCTTAGTCCAGGTATTTGTTCTCTCCTTTCATCCAGATGTCTCTTTAAATTTGCCTGTACTAGGGTTACATCAGGTGATATCTTTTGTGTTGGTGTTTCTCTAGGTTCATTGTTTCTAAGAATGTGTATTGTTTTGTGGAGTATTTTGGATGTTAGCTCCTGCTGTGTTTCGATTTGTATTTGTTCCTCGTTAAGTGAATTATGACTTTTAAATTTATGGATGTTTAGGTTTTCCCAGATGTCCATACGGTTTCCTTCATTGACTTGTTTTATGAGTTTGATGTCTTCTAGTGGGGGCAAGCTCTATTTGTTTTCTATGGCGTGTGTTGGGAGGTTTTATTTATATGTTATTGGGTTTATGTATGCTTTTTTGTGCTCGTCGTACCTTTGAATCAGTTTCTTTTTCGTTTGGCCGATATAGAATTTGTTGCAGACCGAGTATTGTATCCGGTACACTCCGTTTAGGTTTTTGTCTTCTTCTTTTCCATAACTGTTTATTTTTTGTGTTATTTTCGTGTTCGGCTCGTAAGTGATGTTAATGTTGAAAGATTTGAAGATGTTTGTTAATTTTTTGGTTTGATGATCTATGTATGTGAATCCGGCCATCTTTGTGCTGTTTCATGTGTTGAAGTAGTTTGTTCTTCGTTATCCTTGTTATATCCAACTACGGTTTTTCATGTACGATTCTAGCCAACACAATCCAATATTATGAAAGCCCATTACTAGTGTGAACTTCAGTAGAAATAATACTCCAATCTTCCACTTCAACACTCTTGATGATATTTCAAACAGCAATTGACTAACACACTACATTTAACAAAGTGTACTCTATCGAGGAACACATATTAGTGAATGAATAATCAATCCCAATTTCATATGGTTACCACCAATACCTTACATAACTCATGACTACTCAAATTATCAAAAGAAACAATGTGTCATTGGAATGTGTCACAGCAATTATTTGCCCCCATCGGTGTCGTCGACAATAATGCCAGTTCACATTCCGTCATTCCTGACTAGATGATGGCTGCTATATTTCAACTGAAACCAAAAAAAATGTTCCGATTAATTACACCGTTTGTTCGAAGTAACAGAACCTCCCTTATTCTTTTTTTTTTCAGGAATTCCACTCCTTCTAGTAAGTACTACAGCTTTGGGACTAAAAGTTCTTTCACCATTGCATGGCACAGATAGACCTTCCCGACGGCCCAGCATGGCCCAAGGACACGTTCCCGACGACTCTACATGGCACAGGGACAAGTTCCCGACGGCACACCACAACACAGGGACACGTTCCCGTCGTCCCAAAATGACACAGGGACACGTTCTTGACGTCCCAACTTGGCTTATGGACTTTTTTCCATCGGCCCAACGTCGTCTTCTTCGTCAAAACTCATAGTGACCATGCAGTCTCTTGTAGTTTTATCGTATCTCAAACTATCCATTCCCTACCGCATTGGAGTGGTGACCAATATTCTTCTCCATGCAAAAGTCTATGCATCTTTTTAATGTTCATTCAGTACTTTGTCATCTTCCTATAGTATTCTTTTATCTGATTTCAACTGATCACCTTGGAGCTTGGCAGCAAGAATCCATTCATCTGCTGTAACATCAATAATCAGATTATCAGCAAAACCCGCAACCTGAATCTAAGTCTTGAATTTGTAACCACCATCTACCAATTCTACCAAATCTAGGTATCTCGCTCTTTTCTGTGAACATAAGTTGCATCAAGATTTGAAACAACTTCAAACAGATAACCGATCAAATACACAAGAAACTCTTGAAAAATATAGTATTACAAGTAGGTATATAGGAAGCAACACAAATTATGAAATCATGAAACAATAAAAACTTTCTGTCGCTCCAGGGCGATTTGACTGATTCCAGTGACGCATTTGCTTTTTCAGCGGCAGGAAAACCCGGAAAAACCTGCAGCACCACATCATCTAAAGATCTTGATCTGCCAATGTCCTCTCTTTCATAGAATTGAATGTAGGGTGTCTGCAGAGGCTCCAATGAATTCAATACAAAGCCAGAACACTTCGTGACACGACTATCGTCAAACTTAAACCAGTCCGTTTCGTCTTTGACCAATGCGTAATAATGTCCAGATTCAATACCAGAGCCACATTGAACAATGAATGCATAAAGATTGTGGTTTGGTGCTTCCGTCAGAGGTTGAGTCATGTTTGAAGATAATCATTGTTATTATTAGATTGACTGGTGCCTCAGCTATACTTGTTATATAACAGTCAATTAATTTGGCGCATATTTGGTCATACAGTTGATCATCGCCCGTTAAAAGTTCAATTTTCAGATGATTTAACATTAAGATTTGCATGGACTGATTATCAGTCATATTAGGAAATGCTAGTTGAAGTTCCAGAAAATCACATACATTTTTGCTACCTTTCGAGCATGTATTACCAGTAAATGATCTACAAACGCAAGATAAGATAGACTGTACTTTCTGAAATATCCTGAAAGGCCTTTTAATCACTTGAGAAAATTAATGTTTCAACAGCCATTACTTTTTGCTCAACTAGACTACTGTCAGCATAATAACCCTCTTGTTCTGAATGATTCAAGCTTGTCTGGTTTCTTTTCACTCGGGGAACTGCTTGGGAAATGAACTGTTATTCACTTAATTTCATATAAATCGGACAAGCTGCAAACATTCGAAGAAGAAAAACTTCATCGACTGGACTAATCATCCTGTCAAAGTTTGAAGTCTAAAGTTTTCTTGCAAATTTTCTGTAATTAAGTTGTCTCAATACTCTATAGACATGGCTTACTTAAACGAAACCAATCCAGAAGTGTTTTTTGTTCTTCCCAGACCTGGAGGAATCGCAAATATAGAATTGCCCGAACCTGAGATACCGCTTGGCCCGAAAGGATCAAAAGGAACTCTCAAGTCCAGCAGATCGTTGAGATCGACGAGGTCCACACGTTCGAAATCGAAGAGCATCATTGACGCCAGATTGTAAGAATATACCATTTGAGTTATTTCCATTAATGTTTGAAACGATGTTATTATCTATTCTTTGTGAAATATCTCTTCCTCTCTATCAGGTTAGGTGAGGTAGATTAGACCTACTCAAATCGAGTAGGTCTAATCTACCTTCCATTGCAGCCCGGGGGTCACACAAATTCAAACTCTGCAAAGTCATGTGCTCTGCTATAGCATCATCTTCCAAACAGATGTGAGGAAGCTGTCAGTTCACTTTGGACAACAAGCGCAATCGTGAGGCCACTTCAAAGCAGCTTTAGCGCAATCCGAAGGAATTTCTGCGTTGTTTCTTGACCGTCGACAAAACATGGATCCACTAGTACACATCAGAGACCAAGGAACAGTCGAAACAATGGCGAAAGTGCTACGAAGTGAGGGAAGACTGTCCTACCGGCCGGAAAGGCGATGGCCACCGTTTTCTCGGATTCACAAGGTGTGATCTAAATCGACTACTTGAATAAGAATATCACTGGAGTTTTTCCCAACACCAAAGCGTTATTTTAACACCTCGACACGTGTTTCGATTACCAAGTGGTCATCTTCAAACGGAAGATCAAACTGTTTGATCGTCCTTTTGAAGATGATCACTTGGTGATCGAAACACGTATCGAGGTATTGAAATAACGGTTTGGTGTTGGGAAAAACTCCAGTAATATTCATTACTACACAAAACGTTCCAAACAGTGCATCACAAGTACTTGGATAAGGGCAAAACAGTCACAGAGTCCCATTTGCCAAAAAAACAGTGTTCTTCCGCCAAGACAATGCCACGGCTAGATTGTTCGCATTGGGATACGAACCTCATCCAACGTTTTCTCCAGATTTGACCCCGTGCGACTTCTTTTTTTTTCATAATTGGAAACTTTACTCGCCGGGTAGAAATTTTAGTTGGAATGAGAAGGTTATCGACGCCACGGATGCGTACTTCGCATACCTTCAGAAAACGTATTTTTCCGACGAATTAAAGAAGTTGAAGCATCCCTGAGACAAGTGTATCGAGCTAAAAGGAGACTTCCTTCGTATTGAAAATCGCAAAAGCACGGTCTTGATGATTTCCCTTTTGATAGATTGATGGTGGTAGGATTCATGATTTAGATACTGTTCCGTGTGACTGAGTTTTCAATATACGTGTGTTTCCCACTTAGTGTTGGTCCTCTACACCAATACGTCTGAGAATGGCAATTCGTTGTGAATTTCCATCTCCATTGTGAAGGTGATGGAGGGTTTTACGCTGTTGATATGCTTCAGAAAGGTGTCTGGTTCCGTATTCCCATTATTTTTACATTTAAAATTCACATTTGATGAAAAATAATGAATTATGACCAAACAAATCATCAATTGCATAGTACTACTTGGTGGATGATCATGGAAATTATTATTTCGATGCCCAGAATAAACTGCTTCTTTCAGTGTTCTCTCATCATTAACAAAACAAAACTGAAATGCATAAATGAACACAATTGCTTTTACTTGACTCCACTTGAAACATACATATATTTGGTACTATCCATGAAAATACTTCTGAAGTATTTTCAGAATTAATTTCATTTGAGACGCGTTTCATTACTTGGTAGCTCCATCAGTTGGACTGAACGGGTCAGTATATTTATAAAAGCCAATACTGCTGAAAGAGAAAGACGAAGAGAGAGCTAGAACATTCCAATTAAGTTAACGATGTGAATTTGTACCATTTTAATTTTGCACAAATACTTTTGATGTCATTTTGTGAGTTTAACCAACAGAAGATCAGAAGGAACCAAAGCTCTAGGGAAGTGTCCTATTCGCAGGCACCATTCTATTACGATAGTTGCACAATACCTGATCTACACTTGGTTAGGCAGAAATCGCTCTGGGTCGTTTTGCTGGAGGACTTGCATCATCATCTGTCTTGCAAGATTGCATTTGATGACGACAGATGTCTTTGTGACTGAAACTTCTATAGCACCAATCACAGTGAAACATATTTTTGGTAGGGATATTCAGTACGCGCAATTACAAACTGACTTCTCTGAATGAGTGGACCCTCTGTTGAATGTTTTTTCAAAAAGTGGTGGGGGAAAGAGATTACATGAGCGTCCTCAAACTCACCGCAGTAAAGGCATATGATATTGCAGAAGGTCACTCAAAGTTAAACTGAAAATGCACTCCAAAAGCCTCTTCGGCCATGCAGCTGAGGTCGTTCAAGGTCTAATTCTTGAATCTTCGAAATAGACGCTTGAATCAATGAAGATCATTCAAGGTCAAACCCAATACACCATCTCAAAGTCACCTTGCTTGCGTCGTGTGACGTAGTTCAACTTCAAACTCGAAACACTTCCTCAAAGTCACCTTGGCTACGTCGTGCGACGTATGTAATTTCAAGATTCAAAATGGTGGGGGAGGTTTCGAAATCGGCTTAAATCAACTACTACCACCGCACACAGTTCATATTTGATATTCGTCAATTGAGTTTTCAATCGATCCCAAAGATGCCGTTTTCGTAAGAGGAGATGTCATGGCTTTCATTCATTCATGATTCCCAAAAATTGTACCACACTACAATCTAGTGAAATAACAATTTTTTCTAGTTTCACTTCAACTCCTGGCACCACCTCCCGAGAGCATCGCATCCACCATGCTCTTACTACGGTTCCGTGGATATTATTCGACGACGACGAAGAATACGCTGACGAGAAACCACTACAACCCAACCCGCTCCAAGACACCATCGACATGTTGGCGATATCAATCACCACCATCATGCTCTTAGCTGCAGGCCACAAAGACATCTCGAAGGACCATCTACGGTGGACGCTGAGTTACTTGGAATGTGTCAGAGATGAGTTTGGTTGTAATCCCCCCAATGTCACGTAAGATCTTTTTGCCGCCATTGCCCTTAAAGATGAATGGATCCAGAAAAACCACGAAAACATTTTCCGTACACCAGAACTGTAATACTTTTACCACGGAATTATGTAAGAATGGAAAAACAGAGCGAACACTTTCACCACACTGTAACACTTTTCTTGAAAATGATCCGATCAAATTTTTGAACACATATTTATTTAATACACAGTTTCACTTTCAGTCATACATCATTTATTTATTGAGTTGTGAAATTGGCTGCGGTGGTAGTGCGCCCGACTCACGATCGGAAGGCCGTGGGTTCGATTCCCGCTTCGACCAGATATTTTTCACGAGATAATTTATCTGGTTGAAGCTGGGATGATTCTGCAACCGTGTTAGAAACCACACGTTGAAAGGTAAGACCTCGTTAGTCCCTAGCTCGCACAAGTTTCTCAACTTCTTAGAGTTGTCGTTCGTATGAGGGCGACAGCTGATCACCGGAAAAACAGATTTTAAAACAGATTTTTTAAAACAGTACAAGTTAGAGAAAAATTTCGTGCTAATTTCGAAAAAGACGTTTGCATTGGGCTGATTGAAAATACGCTGTCTTTTCAAAAAATGGGGTGAATTTTCATTTTTCCTAAAAAATATTCATTTATTCATCAATATCTATTTTGTCCCCTTCAAAGTTAGATTGAAGTGACCCTCCACCGCAACTCTCAAGGGTTTATTGACCAAATAAACCCAGCATCTCAACGAAGCCCATTAGTTTGTATGGTGAGTGGCGGGGGATCACTGTCTCTCTCTTATGGGTGTTTGACAGTCCCCCGGTGCAGACCACACGGCACTCACCCAGTAAAGTTATCGGTCAACCACCCAATCCCGCACCTGCGGGTAACAGGGGTTGGCCGGTTTTAAGCTAGATGTGTGGGAGAGGTGTCTCGCAAGAGCCCTCGGCGGTTACTCATCCAACGCTGGAAAGGTAACTTTCCTAACATGAGTGCCCCTCGGGGTAACGTAAGGGTATGCGGTGCAGACCACACGGCGTACACCCAAAAGTTGTTGATGAACCGCCCTATCCCGCACCTACACGGGTAATGGGCGCGACATCTTCGACATATGATGTGTGGTAGAGGATGCTCGAAAGAGTCCTCGACGGCTACTCATCAAACGTTGGAAAGGGAACTTTCCTAACATGAGTTCTAGGGGGGAGGTGAGTGCCCGCTCGCGGCTGGAGGCTAGTGAGCCTCATCTCCAACTGGCGTTGGCCTCTTAGGGGCAGCGGCTCCGCTAGCGGGTAAAGGGATACAGGGTTGCGGTAATCCATTCATGGGTGCATTGCAGCCCCATACCGAGGCACTGGACGGCTTATGCTGTTCCGTGATCCTCGCCTGCTTCTGTACGGATCCGAGCGTTCGAGGTGTCGGGGCTCGCGGTCCTTCCGGGCACTAGTATCCGAGTCTAGTCTTGGAGGGCACCAAGGCAGACGCTTGAGGTGTCGGACCCTGGTTGGACGGAGCTACTAGTATCCGAGCTTAGGACCCCGACCGGCCACTTCCGGGACCATATTCCCAATTGATTTGGCATGGTTGGCGGGGGCAGGTGTGCGACGCGAGCACTCTCTGGCGAAAGAAGAGCTTAGTTAACTTGTACGAACGTTCGGTCGAACGCTGCCGATGGTCCTGTCTCTTGGTTAGCCACACTAAGTAGATGTAAGGAAGCAATTCCGGGTTCGGTGAGCGGGAGGAAGCCCTGCGAAATCCTGTTGGTGTGGGGTGAGGGGCGGTACCCGCAAGGATTTCCCGAAAATCCACCCCTCCACACCTGATCGCATCCAACGCCAGGGTGCGTCTGGGGGGCCTAATCGGCCCCCCGGTGCGGTCGTAACTCTTAATGGTCTTTCAGGACACTAAAAACATGATTCAGTCCCCAGCGGGGCAAGTACAAAGCATGTGGTCTGGTGTTTCATCATTTTCCAAACACTGTCTTCCGATTCAAATGACAGCGACCTGTAAAAAGGCCTGTTGGACATCGTAGTTCATCCCTACTGCAGTCCAACAACTATTTGGTATCAAGCTTCAAAGTTTAAATGAACGCCTTGGAGTGAGCCAATCCTGGAAGATTCTACTAGAAGTCCATAAATCTTCTTGCTGTCCAGGTGTTCAATCTTTGTTTTGCAAAGCCTAAAGCTATGCCAATGGCAGGTTATGGACCTACGAAGCTGCTTGCATCACCCTCCTTTGCAAGAGAGTCAGTAGCTTCATTGTCTTCCAGGCCAGTATGGACAGGGATCCAGACCAGAGACAATCTATAAAGTCTTCCTATTGCGGAGAGTCGTTTTTGGCAATTTGCCACCAATATAGACGTTGTCGGTAGGAGCCAAGAGCTTCCAACGCCGCTTGACTGTCCGAGAATAATTTTATTGACTTGTTTACGAGGTTGGATTTTTCCAATATCTCCGCACACAATCCATCTGTGAACCAACAACTATCTGCTTTTAATATTTCCTTCTCTCGGAGAGACCAGTCCTCTCTACTCGGATACAGTACTTTATAAGGCAGTTCGTAGTTGATATTTGGAGGCATAAAGTCAGAGATTAATTCAAGGAAGCTGTGACTTCCAGTGTTAACCACCAGTCTGTTGCACTCTGCATCAAATTGATTTGTACGATTGGCAATGTGATCAAGTCTATACGCAGTCCATCCAGCCTCTCTCTCCAGAAAAATGTGGAGAGGAGGTAGATCTAGAAGGATCTCCATGGCCGCTGACGGTGTGGTACTGATGGCACCACTGATAGCCAGACAAGCCTGTATCTGTTGGCGAAGCTAGAGAGCTTCGCCAAAGTAGTCCTTCTCAGATATAATACACTTGTGCAAGGTTTCACGTGGGCTGGAAAGTTCATAGGCTATTACACAGATGGCGCTACTAGTATTAAATCCAAATAATTTTCAGTTAACCCCAACCTGCAAAAGACATGTGTTCAAATTTCCCAGCTGTCGGATTACTAGAGTGTGGGATGCACGCAGTGGACGCCCCAAAGAGTTTGTTAGCGACGAAAACATCATCAACAAAGTTCAATGATTTTGGATGACTGGAAATTGGAATTGATATTGGTATCTGAGGCTATAAAGATATCAAAGGAACGTGTTGGAGATATCGAGCATGAATATTTGTGTATGCCAAAGTGAGTGCTGCGCGATATCACTGTTGACCAAAAACAAGGGCGAACTGATGATTCTGAGCAGGGTTTGGAGCTGTTCCACCATGAAAAAACGCAAATTTATGCTTCGATATGTGACAATGGATGGAACTTGGCTCCATCAGGAACGAAACAATCGTTACCTGAGTGGACTGCACGAGGTGAACCAATTCCAAAGCGTGCAAAGTCTCAACAGTCGGCTGGCATCGCGTGATTGGAGCCTAAGAAAGACATAATCGCAGAAAAACGGGCCCATTTGCAAAAAAAGTGATGTTATATCAAGATAATGCACCATGCTACAACGTAATGAAAACGATGGCAAAATTGCATGAACTGGGCTTTAAATTGCTTCCGCATCCACCATATTCTCCAGATCCAGCTCCCAGCGACTTTTCTTCTTCTGAGACCTCAAGTGAGTGCTCGTTGAAAAGGAATTTAGCAGCGATGATGAGGTAATCGTCGACACTGAGGGCTATTTTGGGGCATAAGGCAATTCATACCATTAAATATAGTTACCATCGAAGGCAACTATATTGGGTAGAAAAATGAAATTTCATCAAACAATTTTTTATGTAAGCCCACGAACGTTTTAGCCCAACTGTTGGGTCAGGTTAGGTCCAAAGTGGGTGGGTCTATTCAACCCTCCACCGCAACCCGTATCGAAAGGTGTTTTTGATCCATCTTTGAACCAACAACTATCTGCTCTTAATATTTCCTTCTTCCGGAGGATCCAACTGTTACTACTCGTTGATAATCAACTCTTCATGTATTGGCTGGAACATATTGGATTTTAATCTACTTGGTCTAAAAACTATAAATCTTTTTGAAGGTTGATGTGTGTTTTTTGATTAGCAGCATTTTTTTATTATCAAGGCTTGAAAGTATCCTCATAGTACAACAATTACAAAATAATTTCTATACCGGCTCTTTATAGAACAAATGAAATAGGATCCAAGATGTATTCCCTGAGGTGTGCCTGATGATATTCGAAGTAAATTCCACTGTCTGTCTGTGTATCTATGACTATACATCAAAGATCCTCAATCTCAAAGGTGACAACCTCTCATTTCCCAAGTCAAACTGGTTGAACCAGAAGCCAGAAGTAATGAACCTCCTCTATCTTTAACAATCAATGGTAGAAATTTGCTTTCGAATATTATCACTGTATTAACATAATTGCTGCTTATACAACAAATACACTTCCAACACACACCAACGATAATGATTTAACGACGTTAACTTGTCAGGTAATACCCACTTCATGAATAGTGTTGGTGTGCTGGTGTATGGAAGACGTGTTTTTTTTAAATCTTGAACTTGATAGAAGAATTGAAAATGATTATCATTATCATCATTTGTTATTTTTTCAAGGGGTATCATAAACCACATCAGAATGATCGACGGAAATTTGGAGTCTTTCAATGAAACACTGGAGGCTGAAGTAGAAATGGGAGGTTTTGGTACGGCTTCCCCAAAAGAGTCCAAGGATTCACCTGAGAGGGAGATTGCAGGAACGGAAGCCCCTCAACAAACAGGAACTGAAGCCCCACAGCAAACAGAAACTGAAGTAACAGACGCTGAAGAATAATACCTCCTCCCCAATTCAATTCAAAAAATTGCTTTGCAGCATTTGAATTTTGATAATAAAGTATTCAAGAACAATTGTATATTATTTTCTTCAAGTTAGAAGCAAATTTATATTCAACTTGATCTGTTAGTATGTTATTGTCTGATAAATATTGAAACTGTTTTTTTCAAAGACAAAACACAAGCACTACAGAAAAATCCTTAAGGTTCTCTAGAAGCGGTGGATTTTAATCGCTGGAAAACGTTCCACATAAACGCAGTTCTACAAATGAAAGTGTTCTCAAGCAGTCAAGTTCGAGATGTAGTGAGTTGAACCTCAAAATGATGAGCAGCCACAGTCCGTCGCGTATTTCTGATATGTACCGCTCATGATGGATTCAAATGTGCCAAGTCACTTCAACACCTCCCGTGAAAGTATATATAGAAGAGAGACAAATCCCAACCATTCTTCGATGTTCCAAACTAGAGGTGGATATTATGTACCCACGAAGCAAATAACTCCTTAGAAAATAAGGTTCAACTGGACACAATATTTATGGATTTTAGCAAGGCCTTCGACAGGGTAGACCTTGGTGTTTTGCTGCAAAAGTTATATCGATTTGGACTATCCGAAAATATCATGAATCTTTTAGATTAACCATGATGGAAATACCTCAGGCAAATTTCATGCTTCTTCAGGGGTACCCCAAGATTCAAATTTGGGGCCCTCAATCTACCGCTTGGAGTGAGGCTGGACATAGCAGATCCCTCGTGATGTAATACAAAGGCCAAGGCGTACGCGTATTTGCAGCGCCGAAGCCAAAAAGAGAAAGAGAGCAAAGGAGGCAGGAGTGGCAGTAACTATAATTGCACCCTCTCCCTCCCCCACTCCACCTCCAACAGCAAGAGCACTTTCTGCGGAGGGCGCCAAGAGCTCCGCCTTGAATAAAGGCAAGGAACCCGCTGCCCCTGCATAAAAGCTCCCTCACTTGTGCACCTCCACGGGGGGAACCCCAAGAAGGTTGAAGAAGCCGCGCAACGACAGTAATGTCGCTACACCTTCCAAAACCTTCGCGGAGGCCACTGTGAGACACCTCAAGGTTGCCAAAGAGAGTGTGTGTTCGGCGAGTCTTGGCTTACACCTGCCAATATAAAGGAGATGTCTCCTAGTGACCTGTCCACCTTCCTGGAAAGGACAAGGATGGACGATGACTTAGGAGGGCAACTCTTCGGGAGGATGTACAATGGGTCATTTGTGGCCTAAGTGCTGTGAGTTTACACTCACCCTCCTTACTCTACAGATACAGATACGGATACAGTCTTACATCAGTAATTTATGAAGACCTGGACAATTCATAGCCAGCAATTTATATCTTTGTCGATCTCTAAGGCGTTTGACACCGTCTGTCACCAAAGGCTGCTAGAAAATTTGCAGAATATTGGCATGCACGGCAAGATGTACGATCTCATGTGATCGTATCTCTCTGATAGAAAACAAGTGGTAAATATCTATGGTACAATGAGTAATCAAGCAAAAGTTACGTATAGTGTCCCGCAGGGAACAATTTTGGGCCCAATTTTATTCACCATATACATTGATAGCTTGTTAACACTTCAATCAGCAGGTGAAACTTTGAGTTTTGCTGATGATACAGCTGTACTGTATAAATCGAACACGTAGGAACAACTCAAAACTCTGGCACAATCGTCAGATGGTTTGAACATAACAAATGCCAAAAAATACTATATTCTCCTCCTACACTAATAACCTTCCAAACATGGGTCCTTTAAAAGTAAACGAGGAAACTTCAATACTGGAGGCCACTACAATCAAATTTTGGGAGCAGTTCTAGATCGATATATGAAATGCGATCTACATACAGGGTGTTCATTTGAAAACTTCCCACCACGGATTTATCGAAAACTACTGATTGAAAGAAAAAACGCCGAGACACGTCAGAAGATACATCAAAGGGGACAACTTTTTAACCAATAACTACTTCACCCCCTTTCACCCTCTGCACCCCAGGATCATTTCCTTGAAAATTTTAAATGACAAGGGGTATCGAGTGATAGCTTGTTTGAAAAGTCTTCCGAAGTCCTTCATTATGACGTTTATTTTTTTCAAATCGGTCGATTCGTTTTCCAGAAAATTAGAAAAATCTGCATTAATTTTTATTTGTTCCGATAGAAAACAAAAACACACGAAAATATCACTTTTCATTTCAATTACATTTAAGGTTTGCCAAATCCACAATTCGTTTATAATTCAAAACGAAAACTACCAACATAAACAGCAGTTCGAATGATTAGACGTGGCAATAACCAAATACCAATCCCAATTTTTTCCGCGATTTTTTCATCAACACAGATATCCTAGGCGAACTGTTTTTATTGTTTACATGTGTAGTTATTCTCANTAAACGACTACTACATAACCTGGAATAAAATTCCGCGCATCACAGTTACATAGGACGGTAGGAGACGCACCGGTACGTATAGAAACCATATGAAATATGAATATTTGCCTGTAGTCTTTGCATGATTCATGCCGGTACTCATGTGTACCGACAGGCTCGAAAGGGTTAATCAGGAAAATACACGGATTTCTATCACGTTTGAAATTTTTGAAAGAAATTCCCCTCAAAATGAATTTACACATATACGAAGCCAAAACTGTAAAACACATCAGAAGATCTTTTTCAACAGCTCAAAGTTGGGTCGCTAATAGTAATGAACGACATTGTCATCAAAAAGTGACAATATTAGACATTTTTGATACGGAGCAAAGTCAACAATTCAACTCACTTTCTCCCTTCCACTCTGTATATCTCTTACAGACAAACTGTCATGAAATCGTGTCAAGCTATTTCTAAAATTCATCGAAACTGTCAAAATTCTTGTTAGACGATGAGTGATGAAAATGCAGGTGAGGATAACGAATACCTAAAACATATTCGAAACCAAGTATTGAAATGTAAATAACGTCTCTAGATTCCCAAACGGACAAGATTGAAGGAGCCACAGAAGAAGTCCAAGTTGATAAGGCCCCAACTGCAGAAAAGGGGACCAGCGAACGATTCGTGTAAGTACCCAATTGCTGAGTGAATAATGTTGATCATCTTCGTAAAGGAAAATCCGATCATATTCGAAGCGGATTGAGAAAAAATTATGTTTTAATGTTATTACTTTGTGGAGTTTCTATTCATTCCACCAATTATAGATAGAT